CGTGTGCGTGTGTGCATGTGCGTGCGTGTGCGTGTGCGTGTGCACGTGCGTGTGTGTGCGTGCGTGTGCATGTGCACGTGCGTGTGTGTGCCTGTCTGTCTGTCTGTCTCTTGAAGGCTCAGCTCCTCGGCCCTGTCTCCTCTGAGCAGGACCAGCGATGGGCACAGGGGGAGGGCACGGGCAGGATGCAGTGGGAGGCCGGGCTTCTGCAGGGCTGGTCTGATGGCTGAGGGATGGTGCCGGGGTGAGGAGGTTGGAAGCGGGTGGGCGGCCGTGCCCGGCATTGTCCAGCCGCCCTCCAGCTCCTCCCCTGGCTCCGGCCTGGGGCCTGGAAGGGAGTTGTCTCTGATGCTGTGGTGGCCGCAGGGCAAAGGATCGGGTTCCTCAGGAAAGAGAGAGAGGATCACCTAGAGTGAGTGTCCGGAGTGCTTGTTGGTGGGGGCAGGGGAGGATTCCACTTTGAGGTTATGTAAAAGCAATGAAATGAGGTTTTAAAACAAAGAATGGGGTTGTACCATGAGACAGTTGAGAATCAGAATTCTCTCTTGTTCATCATCTTTCTGGGTGGTTCCCCAAGAGCCTGGCCCTCAGCAGCCGTGAAAGTTCTGGATGGTGTTTGTAGTCATCCCCGCCACGGCAGGGAGGGCACCACAGGCGGTGGGTTTCCCGTCCCCAGGCCTTGGCACATCGATGGGAACCTGTCGCTAAGCACCTAGCGCTACGTTTATGTAAAGGCGACCTACCTTCTCTATGGTTTTGAGGTGCCCTGAGCCGGGAGGGTCATGTTGTCTCTGACTTTCATTCCGGGCAGTGAAATGGGCGCAGTTAGAACTTAGGGAACACTTGTGGGTCAGCTGCCCAGCCACAGCCATGGCGCCTCTCGGGCAGGTTTGCACACTGTGTGTGCTCGCTGTAGGACACGTTCCTAGAACGGAGAACTCTGAGTGAAAATAAAGAACTGCGTTTTCTATTGTCTGACGTTACCAGGTCACCTCTGAGAGCAGGCTCACAGCCAGGGGCAGCATGTGGGGCACCCCGTTTCCCCGCACCCTGGCCAGCACTCGCTGTTAGCTATCGTGAAAACGTTTGCCTGCCTGAACCCCGGGAGGGCTGTGCCCATGAGCTCATAGGGTCCTTCGGGGACTAGGTTCCTGAGAGGATGGTGGATGGGGCTGTTTCTCCCTCACGGATGCCTCCCCGGGTGGGGGACCCCGGACCCCAGGGCTGGAGGGGCTGGACCGCCCTGCCCCGCAGCCCCTGGCTGACTCGCCCTTTGCCTTCCGCAGGAAGCTTGGAAGCATGCCGTGGAGAAGGCCAAGCACATGCCCGACCCCTGGGCCGAGTTCCACCTGGAGGACATCGCCGCCGAGTCTGCGACGCGCCACAGGTCAGCACTTGTCGGGGCGGCTGTGTGACCCCAAGGCCTCCTGGGTCCTGCTCTGCTCCCATTGAGACCCGATCCCCTTGGAGATCAGGGAGAAGGGAATATACAGACATCAGCCAGTGTGATCCCTGCTTGGAAGGCAAAGGGAGGGAAGAGTATTTTCAGGGGGTTTCAGGAAGAATGAAAAACAAAACAAAAAGCCACAAGTACCACCACTGATATAATGAGGATACAGAGGACAGCGGAGACGGGGCCCTTCCTGAGTCTCTCTGTGCCGGGCCTGTTCCAGGCGCTGTGTCTATTTAGTCATCAGGAAAGCCTGGGCAGGGGGCGTGTCAGGCACTGGGGACCCCTTCTGAGAACCCGACGAGGGCCATCTCAGAAAGTTGCACACATATGTTAATTTTGCTCATAATTTTAGGAGACTCATGGACCTGCCCTGGAGCCTGCCCCTGTCCCGTGACCTCTGTAGACCCCTCCAGCCCTGAATGAGCCAAGCCTCTCAGTTCCCTTATTGCCCCAGGGAGAGAGGGTTGTCAAGGTCAACCCAGTGCCTTCAAATTAGTCAGAACTCTGTTTCAAATGTGGGTAACAGAATCTCAGTTCACAGCAGCTTAAGGATAAAAGGGAACGTTTGGTTCATATACCAGCAGGGACAGAATTAGATTTACAGTTGTATGTGAAACACAGTTATTCCTGTGTTATTATTAATTATTAACTATTGTATTGTTTTCCATACAAACGACCGTAAGCCTACTTTTGCCCCACCCTGTGTGTGGGCTTCAGGCACGGCTGGTTCCAGATGCTCCAAGGAGGCTTTCGGCTTTGACCTCAGATAGACTCTTATATCATCAGCACAGAGGGGCTGGGAGCCCCACTATTCATCTCACCCTGCAGAAAAGGACCTTTTCTTGCTCAAATTTTTAAAAACAAAAGTTCCATATTTGAATCTCAGTGACCTGGCTGGGTTACGTGCCCATCTCTGAACCAGTCATTGTACCAGGGAGCGTTGCTCTGATGGGCCAGGCCTGGCTCATGCCACAAGCCAGAGGGTGCTGGGTCAGCCTCACCCACCCGCATGTTCTGAAAACGGAGGACAGGGTTCCCCAGAGGAAATGGGAGCGCTGTTGCCAGAAGGGGAAGCGGATGCAGAAGCAGTGGAGCCCTCTCCACCTTTCGGCAGCACGTTCCTGCTCTCACCTGCACAGAGCTAGAGCCTGGCCTGCACCCCCTTCCACCGCCAGAGGCCCACCTCCCAGCCTCTGGGTGTGTGCCAGCAGCCCAGGGCAGCTCGGTGGGGCTGCAGGGAGGCTGTGAGCTCTGCTCCTCCCGCCTGCCAGGGCAGCGTGGTGGCTTGCTGGTGAGACCTGGCCTCAGGCCGAGGCCCCCAGGCCGCACAGGGAGACCCCGGGGAAAGCAAGACCCATAACCTGGGCTGGCTCTGTGTGTGCCAGAGCCTTGCAGGGACCTGAGACCAGGAACCAAGCCAAACTGTTGAGTTCCTAACCAAAGGCTCTGCCTTAGCTGCCCTGGCTCGGAAGAGGTCAAGCATTGATGCCGGGACCTCCAGAGGTTTCTGAATTGGAGGCTGCCTCCTGGGTTCCCAGTTTTGAAAGAGCTGATGCAAGCCGGCCCTTTGGGGCAGACGTCCTGTTCACGGGGTTGGACCCAGGCTGCTTACGAGCAAGATTCTGGTTGAATCCTAGTTCTCAGGCAGAGTGCTTCACCTCTCGGAGCCTTGATTTCCCCAGCAAGAGAGTGGGTGCAGTACCTACCAGTCTCACAGGCTGCTGCGGAGGCCGGCTGAAGGCAGTGGTTTAAGCAGCCAGCACACTGGACACGGTGCTGTGAGCAGCGCTGACCTTATGGTGCCCGTGGTCCGGAAGGACAGAGAGGATGCTGCTCTCCGCCGCTCCCCCCTCCCCCCACCCGGCCCTTCCGGTGCCTCTCAGATCGCAGTCTCCTCTGAAGGTGAGGGAAGACTGTTTCCCTTACCTTCGTCTCTACGTAGAAAGAATAATGATCATTGCTGTTATTTATTGAGCATAACACCCACCGTGAGCTAGGGGTGAGCCTTCCTCCCAGGCCTTGTGCTTCCTCCTGGAGGTGTCAGCTCTGGGAGGCTGTTCTCACTGGGGCTGGCGGCCGTCTAGTGCCTGTGCCCCGGGCGGGGGCCTCTGTGGAGCTGAGAACACCTGGGCCCTGGGCGATGAGTCAGGATAGGGAGTGACTGAGTGAGGCCCTTTCTACCCCGCAAACCTGTTGGAGGCTCAGCCAGGCCTGGGGCAGACGGGCTTGGTGGAGAGCGGGCTCCTGGGCAGGGAGAGGCTGGCTGTGCACCCAGCGCCCCTTTCCTGCTGGACTTGGAGGCATCCAGTGCCCCGGACTGGGCTGCCCACAGTGCCGGCAAGGTCGAGGGCACTGCTGCCTCCTGTCCTGGGACACACCGTTGGTTATGTAGCTCGGTAATGAGGACATTTACTTACTCCGTCATTTATCCAATGTGCGTTTATAAGCATTCACCACACCTGGCCCCTCGTGAGCAGGGCAGACATGGGCCTGCCTGGGTGGCGTCACAGCGGGGAGCCGCCCAAGCACCACAGGACGTGCTGAGGGGACGCGGTGCCCAGGGCGCCTGCGTTTGAGGAAAGGGAAGGAGGCCACTGGGGCCTGGGAGGGCGGAGAGTCCCAAAGACCCAGCGAGGAGGTCGGTGGGCCACAGAGTGGAGAGTGGGCTCGATCCCGAGGCAGCAGGGAGCCCAGAGAGGCCTCTCACCCGTCGCCAGTGACAGGACCCAGGGGCGCTGTCTCCGCAGGTACAACGCTGTCACCGGGGAGTGGCTGCAGGACGAGGTTCTGATCAAGATGGCCTCTCAGGTGAGCAGGTGCTCGGGCCCGGGGGGCGGGGCTGGGCGGGTTTCTCTCACGCCAATGTCAGTTCATGTTCCCTCCCCTCCACACCCACTCTTTTTTTTTTTAACTTTGGGGGATTCTTTAAAGTATTGTATATTTAATTTTTATTGATTTCAGAGATGAAGGGAGAGGGAGAGAGAGTTAGGAACATTAATGATGAGAGAGAGTCATTGATTGGCTGCCTCCTGCACAACCCCTACGGGGGAATCGAGCCCACAACCTGTGCATGGCCCTGACTGGGAATCGAACCCTGGACCCTTCAGTCCATAGGCTGACGCTCTATCCACTGAGCCAAACAGGCCAGGGCTTGTATATTTAATCTTTTATAACAGCTTTATGAGATAAGTCACACACCATGCAACACACCCATGTACAGTGTACAGTCCAGGGCTTTTGGCATAGTCACAGAGTGGCACAGCTGCCACCATGACTGGTACCCAGCGGAGCCAATGCAGTCAGTACCCAGTTCCCTCTGTGCCCTGCCCTGGGCAACCACTAAGCTACCTTCTGTCTCCATAGATTTCCCTATTTTGGACATTTCATATATTCATCGTATATCAAAATATCCTTCTTGGCATTCTTGTTGAAAATCAGTTGACTGTAAATAGTCATAAAATTGCGGGTTGCCACCTATTACTGAGTGAAACGAATCCGGTGGCTGGCCACAGCCTTTTGAAGAAAGAAATAGATTGCAAAAGACTGCGCCTCCTGCTCTGAGTGGGGAGGGGAACTGTGGGGAGCTGCCTTAGTGCATGCACAGCAGAAGAGCGTGCAGCTTGAGGGGTTTCACAGTGAGCACATGTCCCCAGCGCCTGGGAGCTCTCAGCCCGGCGCTCCCCTTGCCCCTGAGGGTCAGCCCTGGCCTGACCCTGTTGCCCTAGGTCAGGTGAGCCCCTTTTCTGTAGGGGTGCCTTCAGCATGGCTTCTTGAGCTCAACATTTTGTCTGTGAGCTTTGTACCTGGTTTTGCTGGAACTGAAAGTTTCATTCTCGCTGCTGTGCAGTATTTCTCCACGTGAACCCATGTGACTTACTGTACTGTTGATGGACATGTGGGCTCTGCTGCAGACAGGGCTGGACACACATCCCTCCGCATGCACTGTCTTCCCACTCCATCACCCCAAAACACCTTCCCCCCAGGGCTCTGCTCGGCTGGGTCAGGGACCGGGGTCTCCCGTCAGCAGCCTCCAGGCCGGCAGTTCTTCCAGCCTTCGGTGCTGCCGTGCAGGAAGCGGGGGTGGGAGGGGCAGATCGAGGGATCAAGATGAGGTCCATTTGGTGGGTGCCACCCCCGGGGAGAGCCCCTCACTCAGGGTTGCTCCTGGTGGGCACGGGGACTGACGACCCTCCCTGTGTGTCTTTCAGCCCTTCGGCCGTGGAGCGATGAGGGAGTGCTTCCGGACGTAAGTGACAGCTGGCTCTCGAGGCCCCGCCCAGGCTCCTCAGGCACCAGAGGGCAAGGGCTTTGTGCCATTTCCACGTAGGGATGGAGTCAGTGGTCTGTGCTTCTTTAGCCCAAGCGCCACTCCATCAGCTCTCCCTTGGACCATAGATTGGGCCTGGTTGTGGGGTGATGAGCTCAACAGTATCCTATGCATCTCAGCTCTGGTCCTTGGAGGCCAAGCGATTGGGCTAGGAGACCTTTACCAAAGTCCCTTAAGTCCCCTGCCCAGCTCTTTGAAGGGTGCAGGGCAGTAGGGAAGCCCCTCCCACCTCCCGCGTCTTGTTACTGGCTCAGCCAGGTCTCCTCATCCGGAGGACTCAGGGCCTGGTCCCTGATGAGCCCAGGCCCAGGCCAGCCCCCTGCTGCCTCTCCCCAGGAAGAAGCTGTCCAACTTCCTGCACACCCAGCAGTGGAAGGGGGCCTCCAACTACGTGGCAAAGCGTTACATTGAGCCGGTGGACAGGAACGTGTACTTTGAGGACGTGCGTCTGCAGATGGAGGCCAAGCTCTGGGGAGAGGAGTACAATCGGCACAAGCCCCCCAAGCAGGTGTGTGGCCCCCTCCCTGCCACCTGCCCCCACCAGGTGTACAGGGACAGTGTCCAGAGACCAGGCGATGGTGGTGCCAGCCACAGGTCCCTTCTTCACGGCCTTCACCATAGTAGCTAACAGCTACCATTTATCGAGCACAGAGGGCCAGGTGCTGTATGTGCACAGTTGGTTACTCCTAAAAGCAGCGCTTGGAGCCAGGTTGGAATGTTTTCATCCCATTTACAGATGGGATCTGATAGCCAGGATTTTTGTTTGCAAATGACAGAAGCCCAGAAAGGATTTAATACAAAAAGGAAATGTATTGCCTCATGGGACTGAGAAGTCGCACTGACCACAGGCATGGCTGGGTCCAGGAGCAAGCTGAGGCTGTTGGGAATCTGCCTCGATCTCAAGTTGGCATCCCTCCCGGGCAGCCCCTCGACTTGTAGCGGCATGCCGGCCACCAGCAGCTGCAGCCTCCTTCCTGTTCTCCCAGCAATCCTGGCAAAACAGCGCCTGTTTTCCCAGAAGTTCTAGTGAAAGTCTCAGAACCGGGTTGCACTGGCTCTGACTAAATCGGGTACCTGTCTCTGAACCAATCGCGATGGCCAGGGGAAGGAAATATGCAGATTGGGCAGGCCTGAGCTATTTGCCCACCATTAGAACCAGGAATGTGGGTCCTTCTGGGACTGAGATTGTGACTCCCAAGAGAAAGCAGAAGGTGGAGAGGGGAATGGGTATCTATTCCTGGGGAAACAAGGTCCCAAAGGGGTTGAGTGACCTGCCTAAACAGGCAGAGATGGAGCCAGGGCGCAGAAGCCCAGGCTTCCCAAGCCCCTGCCAGGTGGCGTCTCCACATGAGCCCCAGGCGTTGAGAGAGGAGGCCAAGCGGAAGCTCCTGTCGCCTGTGGGCCTTCGAGGAAAGGGCGCCTGCCTCTGCCTGGCTGCCGTGCACAGTGCCGGGCTCCCGCTGTGTGAGCGCCTGCTCGGTCCCAGACACCCTCCTGGGCGCCTCCGGAGCTCCACACTCCAAGCAGCCAGCAGGACTTCCTGATGCCTGAGCTCGGTCACATGGCTACACCTAGCTGCAAGGCCAGCCCAGCAGTGTCTTCTTGCTAATAGTCAGGGTTGGGGGTTGTCGTAGTCCACTTGGCCTGTTACAACAAAAGGCCACAGACTGGGTAACTTATAAACAACAGAAATGCAGTCCTCACAGTTTTAGAGGTTGAGAAGTCTAAGATCAAAATTTGACATGGTCGCCTCTGGTGAGGGCCTCCTGGCTCATAGCCAGCACTCTGGCTGGGACCTCACATGGTGGACGGAGGGAGCCCATCCCACTCATCAGGGCTCCACGCTCCTGGCCTAATGACCTCCCAATGAGCCCACCTCCTAATACCATCACCTTAACAGCGGTTCTCAACCTGTGGATCGTGACCCCTTTGGCGATCGAGAACAACCCTTTCACAGGGGTCGCCTAAGACCATCCTGCATATCAGATATTTACATTATGATTCATAACAGTAGCAACATTACAGTTATGAAGTAGCAACGAAAATAATTTTATGGTTGGGTCACTACATGAGGAACTGTATTTAAAGGGCCAGAAGGTTGAGAACCACTGCTTAGAAGGTAAGACCACACCAGTGGTTCCCAATCTTCTTTTGGCCACGCCCCACCTAGGCACCTCTAAAATCCTGATGCTTTCCCCCCGTGACATAGAATTCTTATTCTTCAAAAAGTGAGCTCCTATTCACGTGGAGGAAGCCTAAAAGGCTTCCAAAGAACATGGCACCCATGAAAGAGAAACATGAAAAAACGAAAGGACAGTTGAAGTACTGAGGAAGAGATCACTAGAAATTGTTAAAAAAAATTAATAATATGAAGTGATAAAAAAATTGCAAATAAAGTTTCGAAACTATAATAGAGAACTGAAATGCATAAATGTATCAAAATATATGTTTATATACTGTTTACGAGGCCCCTAGAACCATAAAAAGTGCAAAATTTCACTCTTAATAACTCATTCTCAAATTGCCCCCCTTAAAATTCAGATTGCCCCCTATGGGGCATGTACCCCATGTTGGGAACCACTGGACTAAAACATGAATTTGGGGAGGGGATCACATTCGGGCCATGGCATGGGTTTCCATTCCCAGAGGAAAGGGGCAGTGGGTTCTGGGGACAGGCAGCATTTGTGCCTGGAGAGCTGCGGGCGGTGGAGCTGCCCGGGGCCCTGACCTCCTGCCCCGCCCCCGCAGGTGGACATCATGCAGATGTGTGTGGTGGAGCTGAAGGACAGGCCGGGCTCACCCCTCTTCCACCTGGAGCACTACATCGAGGGCAAGTACACCAAGTACAACTCCAACTCAGGCTTCGTCCGTGATGATGCGCGCCTGACGCCGCAGGTGAGGCCCTGGGGAGGGGTCCCTCTGGGGAGGGTCTCCCCCCTGCGGCCCTCAAGCTGGTGGGGCTTCCCAAGGGCACCCTTGACTCCTTCCGGCTCTGTCAGCCCCCTGAGGCCCCTGCCCAGTTGGACAGGACTCCTTTCTCTGCTGTCCTCTAAGCAGCGCCTCTGTGCAGAGAAGGCCCCCCATGGGTGGAGCTGCCACGTCCGGTTTCGCTCCGAGTGGTGGCTGGCAGTGCCCGCAGCCTGGTCTCCTGTCACCTTTTCCTTCCTGTCCCCCACAGGCCTTCAGCCACTTCACCTTTGAGCGTTCCGGGCACCAGCTGATCGTGGTGGACATCCAGGGTGTGGGCGACCTCTACACCGACCCACAGATCCACACCGAGAAGGGCACTGACTTTGGAGATGGCAACCTAGGTAGGTGGGCAAAGGCAGCCTGTTTCCACGGAGACCACACACCCTCCCTCAGCTCTCCCAGCTCTTGCACACTCAGGAAAATGGGCGTATGGGCCTGTCAGGGTTGTGGCGATGGAAGCCTGGGACGTTTGACACACACACACACACACACACACACACCCGCTTTAGCATGGTTATGCCCCCTCCCACCCCCAACCCCCCGGCTTTAGCATGGTTATGC